TGATTATTTTCACAGATGCATACAGTTTTCATAAGGTTCACTTCCTATTCATGATAAAGAATGTTTAAAAAACTGGGAAAAGAAAGGCACCTCCTTGTCTAGATAGAAGTCATCTTCTTCAAAGGCCTCATTAGCCTGATAACGTCAGGTGAGCCTTGGGAGTCAATCCCGTGAATACCAGAACTAAAATAAGGCTCCCCATTCCACATTGTCCTGGTGACTGGAGCCAGGTCTGTAAGACCAGAAACACACACAGGTTTATAAACTGTCATCATTTACAGAATACGTGATTATCTATATACAAAATCTTAAGAGACTCAATGGGAAATCTATCAGAAATAACAAAGAATTTTTAACAAATGTGTTGGGTACAAGATCAATATACAAAAGCAGCTGCTATACACCAGCAAAACCAATCAGAAAATATAATAAAATAAAGAAACCTTTCACACTATCCTTCAGCCTCTGAAGAACGTAGTACAAGCTTTGAGGAAGACCTACATCGTTGGAAAGGCATACCATGTTCATGGTTGGAACACTCAACTCTGAGGTCATTTCTGTCTCAAGTCAATGGCTGTAGTCAATGCCAGTCAGATCAAAATGTGTGATATTGTAACTTATATAAGAAATATTCTCTGTGCCCATTATCTGGTGCAAGAATCCTAAAACCCTTGGAATTTTCTGAAAGCTAAGAGCCGGGAGGGCGTCTTTTGTTGTTCATAACAAACCACGTTCAACCGCAACTAAGTTCATCTTAACGAGGTAAGTTTTGGAAAGCCCCAAGGGTGGGGGCTGGTTGCCAGGGAAATCAACCACATGATGACCTCTGCTGAGGAGAGAGGTTCCGGAGGTCTTGTCAACCACCAGTGGCTGGCAAATTTATCAGTCGTGCCTATGTAAAACCTTCCATATAAGCCTCCATAAAAACTCTAAAGGACAGGGTTTGGAGCACTTTCGGGTTTGTGAGGACATGGAGCTGGGAGAGTGGCAGCCCCAGGAGGCATGGGGGTCTCTGTGCCCTCCTGCGTCCCTTCTACCTGGTTTTTCTTAAATTATATCGTTTTATAAAAAACTGGTTACCTAGCAAGTAAAATGATGCTCTGAGTTCTGTGAGCCCATCGAGCAAAGAAAGTGGACTGAGGGCGGGGTCGTGGGAGCCTCTGACTCATAGCCAGTTGGTCAGAGGCAGAGGGGACACCCCAGACTTGTTGCCGGTGTTGGAAGTTGGGGGGCAGTCTTGTGGGACAAAACCCGTAATCTGTGCACTAGGAGGCTAAACTGGTCATCTAGGTAACTTAGAACTGAGTTAATTGCTTGGTGATATTAAAAAATACACACATTGGCTCTCTCCAAAATAAATAAGTAAATCCTTTTTTTTTTAAACGGGGGGCATCTGGGGGCTCAGTCACTTGAGCGTCTGACTCTCGATTTCAGCTCCGGTCCAGACCTCAGGGTCCTGGGATCAAGCCCCATGATGGGCTCTGCCCTCAGCTGGGAGTCTGCCTGGCATTCTCTTCCTCTGCGCCCCCTCCCATGCTCGCACATGCCCTCTCTCTCCCCCCAAAATAAGTAATCTTAAAACAAGACCTGCGTTGGGAAATGCCTCCTGAAATTCTCAGTAAACTTGACAATCAGAAGTTCATATTGAAGAAGTGAAGGCATACAAAATGCTAAAACCCTTTTGAAAAGCTTTCTAGTGTAAAAATGAAACTTAGATACTGAAAAGCTCACCCAAAAAACATGGCTTTGTGAATTATTATGGAGCAGACAGCCCTATCCCCAGCCAGCGGGTCCCCAGCTAGTCCAAGCCCCTTTGCTCGCCACAGACCCAGCAGGCTGACTTCTCCAGTAACGACTTCTTTCATTCCTTGTGGTTTCATCGTCCAGATGAGCCTCTTCCGCACTAACCTTGAGGCTTGCCATTTTCCAGACTTGGATTACCTGGTCTGCCGCCGTCCTCACCTCTGCTCCTCCTTGCAGAATCGGGCTCCGTGGCCTGCCAGGCGTCCTCGGAATGCAGCTCGGCACCCGTCTTCACACCCTGTATTTCTGGCTGATCGGCAGCAGGACCCGGAGGCCCTATTGTGCTCAGGATCTAGTCCTTTGGCAGGACCAGCGCTGGTGTCAAGTGCCCTTGGTTGGCAGGGGGACGTGTTGTGATGCTGTGTCTGGACCTCCACCTGCTTTGATGCTCGCTGTCACCAGCACTCACACCAGTGGGGGATGCACAATGGTTTTTCTACCGTTTGGTTTCCCTTATGAGCTGGAACACTTACTCCCAGGTGGCGTTCGCAGGAACAAGGCTTGATCCCAGTTTTGAGGATGACGAGCGGGTTCCCTGTCATCCTCAGGAGATGGGCTGCAACTTACTGCAAGTCTTTTTTTTTTTTTTTTTTAAGGTCAAATGATATCCTCTTGGCTAATGGGAGCTTCTTTAGGTCAGTTCCAAATACTTTTTTTTTAAGGTTTTATTTTTAAGTAATCTCTACACCCAGCGCAGGGCTGGACCCCACAACCCCGAGATCAAGAGTCGCTCGCTCCTCTGACGAGCCCGCCCGCCTCATGTACCGTGGCTTTGAGAGCGTCTGTGCTCTCTGGTCCCAGATGTCCCGGTTCTCCCGGCCCATTCTCTGGCCCAGACTGAGCGTCAGCCACTGCGCACGGGAGCCCTGCCTGGGTCCTCCCGCGGGAAATGGTGTCCACCACCGCAGCCTGGCCTGGGGAGGCTCCTACCGTCTGAGTTGTCCGCTCGCTTTGCTACCTGCCCTAAAGACTTTTCTCTTTGCCTTTGAAACCCGGTCATTTTACCACAATATGTTTTGGTGTTTGGTATTCGGGATCCATACTTTTGGTTTGCTCTGATAATACCCAGTACGAAGAAAAAAAATTTTGATCTCCTGAGAACTGTAGCTCCTGGTATTTTTCCTGTCCCCTGGGTTTTTCTCCTTCAGCACGTGTGCTGTGGACGTCCTGGCCCTGTCCGCAACACTCACCAGTTACTCACACATCGTTTTAATCTGTTTCTTCGTATCTTCTTTCTTTTTAAAAGCGTCCTCCTTTTTGCTTGAATTTCTCCTGGATGTGTAATACTCGGTCTGCTCCCTCCGGGGCCGTCGAGCGCCGTCTTCCTTTCTGAGCTGGTTTTCCCGTATTTCTAACCCCGCGAGTCGTCGCCTCACTTCGGAGGCTTTCGGGCTTGTCGACCCGCGTCGCCCGGGTGCTGAAAGCCACGTGGAAACGACGGGTGGGTTCGGGTGACCGGCGCCCCCCCCCCCCCCGCCTCCGCGGCCCCACGGCGCCCCCCCCCGCCGCCTCCGCGGCCC